GAAGGGGAGCTGTTTTCCTCTGGGCTAAGGCACAGTGACCACAGAGGCGGACATTGTGAACAGCACTGGAGCATCAAGCCACGTGTAGCGTAAACTTCCGCCTGAGAAGGTGACGGCAGGGTGGGGCCAAGGTATGAGGAAGTGGCTTGAGCAGTGACTAGAAGGAGCCAAGTTCACAAAGACAACCAAATACATGAGCCCAGCCCAGAGCCAATCAAGCAGAAGTAGCCTGGGCTGATTGGTAAAGGCACGCAAGAAGCCCCTGGAGCATTCCAGATGCCAGAGGAACCTTGAAAGGTTCACAGCTCACTGCAGCCTCGACCTTCTGGACTCAAGTGATCCTCCTGCCTTAGCCTCCTGAGTAGCTGGGACTACAGGTGCACACCACCACGCCTGGCGAATTGTTTGTATTATTTGTAGAGACGAGTCTCCCTATGTTTCCCAGGCTGGTCTCGAACTCCTGTCCTTAAGCAATCCCCACCTTGGCCTCTGAAAGTTCTGGGATTACAGGTGTGAGCCACTGTGCCCAACCTAAAAGGGCTTTAGTCCTTATAGGACAAAACTGAGAAAAGATAAGAGAAGCGTTTAAAAAAAAAGGTACTAAATTGTACAAAGGTCATTTACTATTATTGCTTCCAAATATAACATCATTTTAACATGAATATTAATATTACCTAAGTATTATTTAATAATAATGATTGTGACTTCTCATGGTGAGATGATGTAATGAGCTGGATGTTATTATTCCCATTTGACAAATGAAAAAACTAAGCTCAAAGGAGGTAAACAGAGAGCAGCCTTAGATCTATACCCAGTTTTATCTACACCCAGATTCCTTGAAAATAATAATACAATAATGAGCTGGGCATGGTGACTCATGCCTGTAATCCCAGCACTTTGGGAGTCTGAGGTGGGAGGATCGCTAGAGGACATCAGTTCAAGACCAGCCTGGGCAGCATAGCGAGACCCAATCTCTACCAAAAAAAACACACAAAACTTTAAGATTAGCTCTGCGTGGTGGTTTATGCCTGTAGTCACAGCTACTTGAGAGGCTGAGGAGGGAGGATTTCTTGAGCCCAGGAGCTTGAGACTGCAGTGAGCTATGATTGTGCCACTGCACTCCAGCCTGGACAACAGAGCAAGATCCTGTCTCCAAAAAAATAATGATTAAAAAATGACAGCAGACACTCCTAGAGTGCTCAATTACATAACAGGCTCTACTCAAAACACTCTTATTAATTCATGTAGACCTAACCACCCCACTATAGTGGCTTTTTATAAACCAGCTTTGCAGTTAAATCTGCCCCTTGCTTTTCTCTGTTCCTGACTACCCTGTCCCGTTCACTCAAGCTCACCTTCAGGGTCGTCGAGTGGCCGGGCTTGCTTCGAGGGACTTTGAAGCCTCTTCTGGCTCCTCAGGGTGACCCCCGAGTGCAGGGACTGGGCATCCTGGGAGATGTCAGCAGAATCTGCAGGTACCAGGGGGGTCTCCTGCTGCTTCTCCACCACCTGTGGCTGCTGCTGTAACATGAGAGCCTAAGAGAGCTCTGTCCTGGCCACACCCTGCCCTGTGATGGGCCCAGTATCTGTGACTGAGATGGCCTCACCAGGCAGCAATGAACTTACAGAGCAAGATCACAGGGGCCTGGGGAGCTGCTGGGAGGGAGGCAGGGGGCAGAGACAGAGCTGGGTAGAGGGAGAGAGTTGCTGAGTGGTCTCAGAGAGGAGGAGCAGCATTTCCCCAAGACAGACCTGAGGTCAGGGCGATGGGCCTACCTGCCTCATCACAAATAGAATCCACCCTCCCAGAAGGACAGCAGTGAGGCTAGCTGCCAGCAGGTCTTGGGGTCCCAGCCCCAGGTAGGAGTCTGGAATCTTTTCTTCTGGATGCAGCTCGGAGTCCCAAAGCTTCTCTCGGCTCAGGCTCAATAGCTGGGGATAAAGGGCCCTTCACTGTTAGCACTTCCTTCCACCGGGGAACCCCTAACCTGTCTTCATCACCCCGCACAGGGCTGGGCTTAGCTGAAGGGGCAGTGAGTGGTCTGTGTATGGTGGGAAACGTGGCACTCTCCACAGTGCTGAAACATCATGTTGCCCAGAAGAATGGTTTTCTAAGAATGGTTTCTAAGAAAAGAATGGTTTCATTTCTACCCAATGACCAGCATTTCATGAGAGGTCACAAAAAGACACAGGTACTCTTGGAATGTCACGAAAAACATAGATACCCACCTCCAGAGATTCTAAATGCGTTAGCTCTGGAGTTGGCTTCCAGGTGATTCTGATGAGCAACCGGATTTGAGAATTATTGCTCTAGGCCATGGCTGTTCCTTCTAACCTTGAGCTATTTACTAGTGATTTGGGTCCAACCGTCTCCCAGGAGCACATGCTTTTATAGTTTTTGTTTTCAATGAATATTTTACAGTTTTTACACTGAAGAAGAATAAAGAAAACATGACCTATGTTTCATGATTTAGGTAGTCAATGTCTTTTTTTTTCTTTTTTTTCGAAGAGACAGGGTTTCACTGTGTTATCCAGTGCAGTGGTGTGACCATAGCTCACAGCAGCCTCAAACTCTTGGGCTCAAGCAATCCTCCCACCTCAGCCTCCTGAGTAGCTGGGACTACAGGTGCACACCACCATGCCCCACTAATTTTTAATTTTTTCTTTTTTTTTTTGAGACGGAGTCTCGCTCTGTCGCCCAGGCTGGAGTGCAGTGGCCAGATCTCAGCTCACTGCAAGCTCCGCCTCCCGGGTTCACGCCATTCTCCTGCCTCAGCCTCCCGAGCAGCTGGGACTACAGGCGCCCGCCACCTCGCCTGGCTATTTAATTTTTTTTTTGTAGAGATGGGGTCTTGCTATGTTACCAAGGCTGATCTCAAGCTCCTGACCTCAAGCCATCCATCCTCCCACACTGACCTTCCAAAATGCTGAGAATATAAGAATAAGCCATCATGCCCAGCCACTTTTTGACACTTCTAATGTGTTTCTGGCAGTAACAACAACAACAACAACAACAAAGTTTGTCTTCTGGGAAATTGTGTGAGGTCAATTGACCCACCCTGATTGTTATTCTTAGCAGCCTGAGGAAAAGGTCCAGGGGCTATTCCCCCATCTGCTGGGGCCTCCCTACCCCCCAGTCTCTGCCAGCACTGACCTCCAAGAAGAAGGCTGGGGCCTGGGTGTTCTCTGGGGGTCTTGTCTCTGCAGTTCCACTCCCCGGGGTGGGATGGACCCTCAGCATGGTGGTGTGCAGGACTGGGGGTAGCTCGTGGTGTCCTAAGGTGGGGGGCAAAAGTCATCGGGCTGAAGGGGACCTTAGCTTTCCAGCTCAGAAGCTGGGCTCACAGGTTCTTTATCTTCATCTACTCCCAACTTTAGCCAGAGGATCTCACCAATGAGCAGCCACTGGCTTGGGAGGGCCACACTGCCTGAGGGGTATCTAACAGCAGTGCTGGGTGAGCCCTCTCGCTCTCCTGAGACTTGGAGTGTCACCTCATCTGTGGTGGGGCCATCTGTGGGGGCCAGGGTCAGTCCACGAGGCTACGGCAGAAGATGGAGAGCCATAAGTGAGGGAGGTTCTTCTCCCGTTCATCCTCTTTCCAGCCCACTCAGAGACCACTTCTCACCACCAGGGCCACTCCTGTGTGGACCAGTGCTTTAGAGACATAGAAGCCAGTTTCATCCTTCCCCACATACAGCGTCATCCTAGCGGGAGAGAAGAAAAAGAAGAGAAGAATGAATGCTGGTGATGTGTAGTTTCCGTTATCAGGGTACTCATGCCCTTGTATATTTCCCTCTCACATTGACTCGGCTTAGCCATGAGACTTGCTTTAATCAATAGACAACAGCAAATGTGGCATAAGTAGAGGCTTGAAAAGTGCTTGTGCCTTGAGGCTTCCTTCTGCATTTTTCTGTAGACCCTGAGACTACCATGGGAGAAAACCCAGGCTAGCCTGCTGGGGCGTGAGAGACCTCTTTAATCCCCCATAGGCCAAATAGTCCATCAACCATGAGATAGGTGAGTGAGGCCATCCTAGATTCTCCAGACTCAACCAAGCCACAAGCAGACTGCAGAAAAACCACCCACCCACCCCAGCTGACCCACAGAATCTTAAAAAATAATAAATTGTTGTTTTTTAAGTTCTCTGTTTGGGGCAATTTGTTATGCAGCTAAAGCTACCTGATAACATGTTCTATAGTCATGATTTCAAATCTATGTCTAACCGAGACCTCTTTCAAGAGCACAATTTTCTTTCTTTCCTTCCTTCCTTCCCTTCCCTCACTTCCTTCCCTCACTTCCTTCCTTCCTTCCTTCCTTCCTTCCTTCCCTCCCTCTTTCTTTTCTTTTATTTTCTCTTTTCTTTTCTTTTCTTTTTTTTTGAGATGGAGTCTTGCTCTGTTGCCCAGACTGGAGTGCAGTGGCATGATCTCAGCTCACTGCAAGCTCTGTCTCCCAGGTTCACACCATTCTCGTGCCTCAGCCTTCTGAGTAGCTGGGACTACAGGCACCCGCCACCACGCCTGGCTAATTTTTTGTATTTTTAAGTAGAGACAGGGTTTCACCGTGTTAGCCAGGATGGTCTGATCTCCTGACCTCGTGATCTGCCCGCCTCGGTCTCCCAAAGTGCTGGGATTACAGGCGTGAGCCACCGCACCCGGCTGAGCTCAATTTTCTAAATATAGACTCATTACATCATTCTTTACCTCTTCCTCATTCTTCTCCCCCACCTCCTCTAGTGTTCCCTGCCTCTGAAAATGACAGCACCGACATGCTTCTAGAAACCTGAGCATGATCTTTGACTCCTTGTAACTCCCTAATCACCAAATTTTCACTGGTTCTTCCTTCTAATATATCTCACACTCCACTTCTTTTCCTCTCTAGAGTTTCTGCTCTAGGATAAAGTATCTCATTTCTTTCCTGAACAAATCAATATTCCATGAATGGTCCATTTCTTTCCATATACCACTCTAAGATATTCTTTCTAAAGTGAAAATATGATCAAATCACTTCCTTCCTTAAAACTCTCCAGTGACTTTTTAACTTTAGGAGAAAATGTCCAAGCCCTTTAAATGATCCTACAAGATCTCTTCTTAGCTTATAATCTCAGACCCTACTTCTTTCTCAGGTCTGTATTTCAGTCTTATTTAATTTTTTCCTGTTCCCCGAGTTCTATGCTCTCTCCTCTCTCTCATTTCCTATTCATTTTTTAGGTTTCAATTTAGATGTTCCTTCCTCCAGGAAGCTTTCCATGACTGCCTCTTGTCCCCAGTCTTGATGTGGGTACTCTTCCTATACATTCCCATGGCATCTTATACTACTCTTATCTCATCCTTTATCATATCAGGTTGCAATAGTCTCTTTACATATCTGTCTCTCCCATTAGACTCGGGTTCCTATAGGCAGGAACAATGACTGGGTTATTTGCTATTGTACTCCCAGACTCTAGTGAGACTGGCACACAGTAAGTGCTCAATTAATATTTGTAGAATGAATTGAAATGAATGGATGATCCCTGATTTTCCCAAGCTGTCTACTGGTTTCTCAAGATGGGGACACTAAGGTGTTAGATGCAATAAGGTTGTTATTTAAAGTATTTAACAATCGATAAGGCACAGCACCTACCAACCAGAACAGGTTAAGACCTGGAGTCCCCCTCTGATATGGTTTGGCTGTGTCCCCACCAAAATCTCATCTTGAATTTCCATGTGTTGTGGGAGGGACCCGGTGGGAGGTAATTAAATCATGAGGGCTTTCCCATGCTGTTCTCGTATAGTGAATACGTCTCACAAGATCTGATGGTTTTATAAGGGAGAGTTTCCCTGCATATGCTCCTCTCTTTGCCTGCCACCATCCACGTAAGATGTGACTTGCTGCTCCTTGCTTTCTGCCATGGTTGTGAGGCTTCCCCAACCACATGGAACTGTAAGTCCAATTAAGCCTCTTTATTTTGTAAATTGCCCAGTCTTGGGTATGTCTTTATCAGCAGCATGAAACAGACTAGTACACCCTCCTAGGCCAGATCTTACCCTATGAGGTGCTGAACGGTGGGGGCTACCCAGGGGGTCCTGGGGGTCGCTTGGAGGGCAGCACAGGACACCAGTTGGGTAAGTAACCAATTTGAAATGTTTTGACCCCTGGTTCAGCTGTACTGGTGTGTCACAGCTGAACATCTCGCCTGGCCATCAGACCCAGCCTGCAACCCCCAGACGGCTCCCTCCCTAGGCCCCAGGCATGAACACCTACAGCAGCTGGGTATCCAAGGCAGAGAAGAGGGTGGCTGTGTCCTGGGGGCCTGAGGCAGGCAGTCGGATGTGGCCCCAGCGGAGGGCGAGGAAATGCAGAGTGTCTCGAGCCAGGGTGAGATGCGGCAGCTGGCGCAGGCCGTCCTGGTGCCAGGTGTAGACGCCCATCACAGGCACGCCCAGGTCTTGTGTCCACAGCACTGCCCCACTTTCTGGGTCCACAGTGAGCAGCAGGCCCATCCCACAGGACGCCAGGTGGCTCATGTCTGCCGAGAAAGGTGGCTGGGGAGATGTGATTGGAAGCTCTCCTAAGAGGGTCCAAGGGTGCCCTCTGGGTGAGGGGGTCACTCTGGTGTGTGGAGATCACATGGAGGGTTATCAGGACATGAGAAGGTTTGTTGGAGTTTATGGGGTCACTTTGAAAATGAGACAAACAGTCAGGGTCATTCAAAGCTGACTCAGATGTGTGGGAGTCAGTTTGAGTCACTTAGGATGGTGGGGTATTGCCCATGGTCAACAGATGGTCACCTAGGATGGATCAATCAGGGTGGCCTGGAGGCATGTGTATCACTTGGGAGTCACTTAGAGTGTGAGAGGGGTCAGCTGGGGTGCATAGGTGACCTCACCTCTGCTGCGGTGACCAGGGTCGGGTCTCATGCAGAATGATGGAATCAGGGCTTGGGGGGGCCTTAGGGGCACCTGTAAGGTCACTCAGGCAGTTGGGTATCAGTCATAATATCGAGAGGGTGGGCCAGGTGTGGTGGCCTATGCTTGTAATCCCAGTACCCAGGAGTTTGAGATCAGCCTGGGCAACATAGCAAGACCCCATCTCTACAAAAAAGATGAGACAGGCTTGGTGGTGCACACCTGCAGTCCCAGCTATTCAGGAGGCTGAGGATAGAGGATCACTTGAGCCCAGGAGTTGGAGGCTGTGGTAAGCTATGATCACACTACTGCACTCCAGCCTGGGTGACGACAGAGTGAGACCCCATCTCACAAAAAATGGTGGGGAGTGGTCAGGGTCACCTAGGGAGTCAGTATATGCAAGAGGCTACTTAGGGTCAGCTTTCAGGGGTTATATATAGGGGTCAGTTAGGACACCCAGAGATTGCTCAGGGGCTGTTTGGGGTCACTGTGCATGTGGGAAGTCATCCAGGGTTACCTGATTGGGGCCACTTGGAGTATAGAAGAGTTAGGAGGTTGAGGGACTGGCCAGGGTTCAGGAGGGTCAGTCTGGGTGTTGAGGGAGTCACTTAGGGTCAGCCATCAGGGGTGTGCCATTTAGTATATGGGGTCCCTGGGGAGGTCAAGTGGGTCAAAATGTGGCTGGGAATTGGTCGTGGATGCTGTTCAGGGTTCCCTGGGCTGGGGACCTTGCTCCAAGATGGGACCAGAGAAAGATGGAACTTACATTTCCCGGGTGAGCCATCCATGGGGGGCGCTGAGTAGCGGCGGTAGGTGGTGTTCCAGCGCAGGGCTGGGGCTCTTGGGTCATGCATGGTGACCGTATACTCTGGGGATCCCAGAAGCAAGATTACCAGGAACGTCCATGTGATGCTCCCTCCAACCCCAGAGGCCATTTATCTTGTAGGAGTGGGGGTTTTCTGAGCACACAGCCTAGAGACCTGGAAGCCTGTGAACATCACAGTGGCAGAGACTGGAGCTGTCTTGTTTACAGCTCTATCCCTGGCTCCTAGTTCATGCTCTGTAGAATGTTTGTTGATGACTAACAGACTATCCGGAATTCAACTTGGTTAGCCACAGCCAGATCTCAGCAGAGCAAAAGGGGAGGCTGCCCAGAGCTTGAGGAATAGCTGGGGCCTGACTCACGTGTTCGGCCGATGTAGAGGCGGGGGGTGGAGGAACCCGCTGTGGTCAGTGTCATCTGGGTCTCCCCTGACTCAGGGTCCACCACAAACCAGGCATCCTGCTTCCGGCCTGTGGAGGTGGAAAGTGTGTTAGCTCTCAAGCTGGCATGGGAAGAGGTGTGGTCCCGCCACTCCTGTGCCTAATGAGCCCGTCATGACTTAGATCCCTGCCTCTGTTGGCTGAACCTGGACCCCACAGGCTGGAGAGATGCTCACCTGTGTAGAAGACCCCATCAGAGCTGCGGCAGGGAGAGGCATGAACCAGCTCAGGGATGGTGAA